CGGCACGGGGACCCCGTGGGGAATGGGGGACCCCGTGGGGAATGGGGACCCTGCAGGGTCTCCCGCTTGTCACAGGGTTTTCCAGAAAGGCATCTGCATGGGTGAATTACTGGGATGACTGATGAAGGCCTTGGGGGGAAACTGGTATTTGCAAGAGCTGTCTTTAAAATCTGTGTGTATACATTTATGTCGGTTTTTAAACCAATGGTGTCTAAATCACAATTTGTAGCTCGTAACAGGAGCTAGTCTAAATTCAAACCGTACACTCATAGTTAATACTGTTCTTTCCTACCCCTGTGAGGCTTTAACGGGGGGAAAAAAATAGAGCAGAGAAGCCTGATATGAAATCAGTGCTCTGGAGGGGGTACGGCATCGTGTCCCCGGGCAGCCCTAAGTCACCGCTGCGAGCGACAGCAGGAGGATAAGTAGGTCAGGCTGTCAGCGGGGACATCCCTCGCCGCTGTGCCATTGCCATCGCCACTGCTCCCTCCGTCCCGGTAGCTGACTCCTGCGCGGAGCCGATGGAGCCGGAGCGAAGGGCTGGAGCTGGGAGCGCTGGGTCAGGAGCGCTGGCTTGGCTCCAGATCCCCTCGGAAGCACGTGGGGTTTGTGTAGCACAAATGTGGGATCTGATCAGGCAGGAATTGAGCTCCGCGGCTGCCCTGGGAATGTGGGGCGGTGCTGGATGCAGATCGGGATGCTCCCTCGGCGCTCGGCACAGGCGAAGCTGCGGGATCGAGGGGGCCCGGAGCGCCCCACTGGCCAAATGTCCCCACTGCCCAGAGACGGGACTGGGTGTCCCGAAGCAATGTTAGGTTTGTTTTGTTGCACAGCTGCAGTTTGCTGCCACTTTACCCCTTGTGTTGTCTCTTGTGCCATCCTGTTACCTCTGGAGCGGCTGCAGCGGCGGCGGCTCCCCGGGAGCGGGGAGATGGGTGCCTCGGGCGCGCCGGCCGTTCCCCCGAGAGCCTCGAGCCTGCAGGATTAATCTACAATGGCTTAGACGTTAGCTTCCTAATTTAAGTGAGTCATCAGCTGTTGTCATCGGTAAGGAGGGAGGCACTAACGGAGCACGGTCCTTCCCACCCCGCTCTGCGTAGCCGGTGGTCGGTGTGCCCCGAGGAGTCCAGGAACCCGCGCACGACAGAGGTGCCGGACAGGAGAATATACCCACGAAAAGAAAAGCAGCTCCTTAAGAAAGCCCATCCTGATTATGGGATGCGCTGGAGATGCTTCCCATATTTCATCCGACGGCGGTCAGGGCTGTGACCTGTGCTCGGGAGGGGAGCAGTGACACGGGCACGTATAAAGTCCCCGTGGATGCTGGCTGTGCTGCGTCTGGCACCCTCCGTCCCCAAGCGGGTTGGTTTATTCCTTCCAAGTGGCCGCTTGAGCACAGGTTTCTCCTGTCGTTCCGGCTTTCAACATGTGAGCCTGTGTTCCCTCCCCGTGCGTAGCTCAGACGGGCTCGGTTGTTTTCAGTGCTCAAGTTCTGGGACTGTAAAACACCACGTGGATGTGTGAAGGTGCGTTGGTAGCGACCCAGAACTGTTATTTCCCGGCCAGCAGAAAGAGGGAGGAGAGGCAGGAGAGAAGAGAATTGTAGTTGAAAGGTGTCATCTCATATTGGCTTTGGATTGCCACAGATTATAACGCAACATTTAACAGGTATAAACCAATGTTTCAAGTGTCAGACCTCTCCCCAGGACAGCCCCTCTAAACACGAGCCATCAGTAGAGAAAGGCGGTGTAATTTATCCCCGCACACCATTTCAATCCCTCAGAGTTCTTATTTTCAGCTTTCTCACTGTGATTTTATTCAGTTACTCCAAGGAACTAAAATAAAAAAAAACATGTAGCTATCAAATAGGATTTTTTTATTATTATTGTTATTGAGTATTTTTCCATTTTCTCTGCAATATTAAATGTGGCAGTTCTTACCACGCTACGTAACCAAAATATACTCTCCAGATTTCCTGAGGCCCTCCTGGTCGCCCGGTGGTGTTTGCTTTTTAGTTGAGTCCAGATCAAACTGTGGGAGTTATGGCCCTTGTGGTGCTCCTGATGGAGAGGAGAGCTCTGTAGGCTGAGAGCTCGGCGAGAAGTGAGGTGGACCTGAGGCTGTCTGTGGATTGTGTTAAGCAAGGGCTGGGCGTTATGGTGGAAAAGACATAAGGTGCTTTTGAAGGCTTACAACAGTCTCAATTTTTATTACTAGATATTAGGGTGGTACTAGGCTGCGCGTGACGCAGGGGCTGTAGGATGCTTTCATTGATTCCCACCTGACTGCTGGAGCAGGAGCATTATTAGAAGGTGGCATCTTCCCCGGTCGCGTCCCACAGCCTGTGCCATGCTGGTCCAACATTCCAGCCTTCTGTTCCAAAAAAAACCCAACCAAAACCCGTGAAATTTGTTCCCGCCTCACTATAAATTCACATCCTTTCATGCCGAAGCCCCCGTGCCAGTCTGCCATCCACAGAGCCGCTCTCCTCCAGATGTGCTCAGCACCGAGCTGCACTTCAGCTCCCAGGGGTTTAGGTGGGGGAGCAGGCTGCATCCCGGCCACGCGTGTCGGGAAGGCTCCTGGGAGTCTGCCGCCCCGTCCCCATGCCTGCCCTTATCTGTCCCGGACAATGCATTAATCAAAGCAAACAGAAGTGGCTCCTTCATCTGAAGGTCCTCGATAATCCCAGTAGCTTTTCTGTACTGGGTGGGTCGGTGCTGGGCTGCAGGTGACCTCTGCTGTCGCCGGCGCTGCGGGGCATCACGGGACTTCTCTGCCGTCCCACAAACCACTGGGTGGGACAGGAGCAGATTTGCCAGGCAGGGAAAGGCACCAGGGAGGAGCGAAGCTCCTTCAGTTCCTCACAACTCTTTCGGTTCACCCAGGAGTTCACCCGGGGTTAGCGTGCAGCCGTGGAGCTCAGAATTTTGGAAATAAGTCTAATGGGGATAACTGAAATCCTCTCTGCTCAGCCCTTCCCACCAGGGAAGGATGTTAGGAGCTGTTTAATGCAGCTCGAACATGTGGGACTCGCTGCTGTGGGGCAGTACTGCGGTGCCAAGTAACATTTAGGCTTTAAATCTCCATTCAAGTCACTGCCCATCGGCTGAGCTGCTTTCCCTGTCCGGGAGCGTGTTCCTAGGCTGAAACCGAGGACAAAAAGAGGCGCCATGAACTCTTGCACTCCAAGCTCAACCTGTTTGCAAGCACGCAGTAGCTGACCTGCAGGCTCGGTCCCATCCCCGCGGTACTGCCGGTACCTTCGTGCCCTGGCACCCGCCTCTGACCGCGGGTGGGAGCCGGACTGGGCGCTCCATCAGCCAGTACCGGGCATCCTTCATCCTGGTGGCCTTGGAGCAAACCACAGAGGGTCCATGTTTTGCCATGTGCTTCCACACGGTAGCCTTCGGTTTGGGTTCCCAGCTCAGTTCCGCTCCCGGCACACCTGAACAAGATGACTTCATTAAAAGGACTCTGTCAGCTGTTTCTCTTTTACTTTGCCAACCTTTGCAATAGAGGAGGAGGCGCTGAGCCGCGGGTCTCGGGATCCTCTGCTCCATCTGTGAGCAAATGCTGATGTTAATAAGAGAGAAACTGTGTAGATGTTGCCGTTGCAATTACATTTAGCATTGGAAATAGTGTTGTATCAGGCTCTGCCGAACCGCTGGGGCACTGGAAGAGCCCAAATGGTGCTGGTCCCACTGGTACTTCAGTGGAAGCTCCAGGGGAGATGCACAACAGAATCCTGGAGGAGTCTCCCACCAGATCAATATCACTGTGCTGATGGGCATCTCTTGGACCATTACTCTTTGGCAGTGTCCCTTTAAGTGTTATAAGAGAAACTGCTCTTTTTCTAAGATTGTTTAGCTTATTTTTTTTGTAAATGCAGTAAAGTATATAGTCATGATTGAATAGAAAGAGTTAAAATGCTAATCCAACCTCCCTTGTTTTAAACAGGAACAGAAATTCTTGGCAAATCAGTTCGTATTATATTCTCTACATTAGGAGTTTGCATATTTTTTGCAATTGGCTACATGTTGCTGCCACTGTTTGCTTACTTCATCAGAGACTGGCGGATGCTGCTGCTGGCGCTCACTGTCCCGGGGCTGTTCTGCATCCCGCTTTGGTGGTGAGTGCCCCCGCGCCGCCGCGCTCCCCACCTCCCCTCCCCACCAGGGTGCTGGGTTATGGCAGGGTGTCGGGGCGGGGGGCCCGTTTCATGGAATTCCAGACTGGTGAGGGCTGGAAGGGCCCTCTGGAGCTCCCCCATCCCACCCCCCGCCAGAGCAGGGGCACCTCCAGCAGTGGCACAGGACGGCGTCCAGGCGGGGTTGGGATGGCTCCAGAGGGGGAGACTCCCCCACCTCTCTGGGCTTTGTGCCCGTTCCCTCTTGTCCTGTCACTGGGCTCCACTGGAAACAGACTGTTCCCATCCCCCTGGCACCTCCCTTTGAGTACTCATGAACATTGATAAGATCCCTCCTCAGTCTTCTTTTTTCTAAACTAAAAAGCCCCACATCCCTCAGCCTTTCCTCGTAAGAGAGATGCTCCAGTCCCCTCATCATCTCCGTAGCCCGTTGCTGGACCCTCTCTAGCAGTTCCCTGTCCCTCTTGACCCGGGGAGCCCCGAACTGGACACAGTGCTCCAGATGTGGCCTCCCCAGGGCAGAGCAGAGGGGGAGGATGACCTCCCTCGTCCTGCTGGCCACACTCTTCTTGATGCCCCCCAGGATGCCATTGGCCTTCTTGGCCACCAGGGCACATTGCTGGCTCGTGGGCATCCTGTTGTCCCCCAGGACTCCCAGGTCCCTTTCCACAGAGCTGCTCTCCAGGAGGTCAGCCCCCAACCTGTACTGGTGTGTAGGGTCACTCCTCCCCAGATGCAGGAATCTCCTCTTTGTTTTTTGGTTGTTTGTTGTTTGGGGTTTTTTTTATTTTCTATTTGCCATGTGAGGAGACTTTGCTTTCAGGCAGGTGTTGGAAGGATTTTTTGTTTGTTTTTTTTTTCCCCTGTTTTAAGTCAAATTAATTACCTGCAGAGCCTCACTGGTGCTGGCCCTTGCTTGAAGCCACTTTTTCACTGGCTTTCCAGAGCAGCTTGGGAATTCTGTATTTGATTCCTAACCCTGGACACTGTTAACCACCTCTAGCTTTACCCCCGTACTACTGCTGGATGATTCGTTCTAACTTTTCTTCCTTCCTTTTTCCTTTAAGCCATTTTTTAATGCGGATTCACCCGGCCCATTGGTACTAAAATCTCAGCGATAGGCTGAGCCCGTTCACTCGGTGTGCAGCAGGTGCCAGTTTATTGCACTCGATGTCATTAAGCAGTTCATCGCACTAGATGTCGTTAAGTGGAGTCGTTTGCCGACGCAGCTCACCGGCCAGCCCTCTCCCATGGGCTCTGCGTGCTGGGAGCCATGTGTCCCCCCAGGCTTTGCTTTGGCTGCTGGAGCAAGGCTTTGATTTGTGAGCTCCTTCAGCCCAGAGTAACTCTGTCTGGCTAAGCCAAAGGTTGGCTCTTCCTCGCCGTGCTCCTCTCAGCCATCCCACGCTGGCTTCTTGGTGGCCAAGTCCACACTTTGTTTCGTCTTTCCAGTGGACGCACAGGTTCACCCCCACTTGCCCACCGTTGCTCTGCCCTGGGGGACTGAAAAATAGTTGAGGAAATCTCCCTGCTCTTCTCAGCTGGAAGAAGCATTGAAGAAGGGCAGATATCCTTGTTCTGCTGCCACCTTGGTCATCTGCTGTTTTCTGAAGAGAGAGCTGTTTAGAAAATAGGAAGGGAAAGGCAAGGTATCACTCACACTCTTAAAACCAGGATAATTTACAAGAAAAAGAGTTCCTTCTTCTCATATTAGTCTTATCTGGGGAACTCCTTCCTCTTATCTTGAAAAAGTTATACCTATAAGAGATTAAGGTGTTTATAACAGTTAAGTGATTTAGACCCATTCTTCTAAAGTCTAAAAGACCTCCTACAGATCTCAGTCTTGTCAGGAGTCTCTGCTGATGGTTTTGGTTTGTTTGGGATTTTTTATCTTAGCCTTCAAACCAAACCAAACCTTTAACACGGCTTTTAGCTCCACCTCTGCTATTATCTGATTTTAAAGATGGCTTGATTCTGTTTAATAATCAATTTGCTTATTTAACTGGAAACATTTCAAAGCCCTTCAACACAGCTGCATTTCTCTCTGTGTCAAGCAGCTGCTCTTTGGGGAGGTTGGTTTGAGTGGAAGCCTCTCAGATACCTGCTGTGGAACAGGCACTATGAGGCACCTGAAATCTGTCCCCAAGGCATGGCTTCAGACTCCTGCTTTGAATTGTATTTGGTGGGGATTTCCATACTTTTTAAGAGCATACATCATAAAGCATGCCAAAAATTTCCATGGGTGGCACTTCCAGTCTGGGGCCAATGTGTAGGTGGTGGTCAAGGTGCACTGGCAGAGCTCTGGTATTTGCTGGCATTTCGGCATCTGGACCCACTGCTTCCACGGGTGATGTGACTTGCACATCCCACTGCTCCATGCCATAGTTGCTCTTTTATTCATTCCTCTTCTAAATTCTCCAGAAGGTTCCCAGCATCGTCTCTGCAGTCTTGTGTTCCTCAGCTTGCCCTCAAAGAAGAGCAGTGGAGACAGCTCGCCTGGCAGAAAGTCACGTTAGTGGTTGAATGATCTGATATGAATCATCTGATGGTCGAAACCGTTGACGTGGCTTTGGGTCAGTCCTTTAGGGAGTTCATTAGCAAAGGAGTGTCTGACCTGCTTTTTTCCAAGGAGAGGAAAAAGAGCTGCTGGCGAAAGGGGGGGGCGGAGGGTAGCATCTGTTACAATCAAAGGATTTAGTTAAGGAAAGGTGAGATTTTCTGTCCTGTGTTTGGTGTTAATTCACTCAACACGTGCCCGGAATTGATTAGAAAATGTCATCAACTCCCCGAGGGGACACTGCCACTGTCCTCTGCCTGGGAGAGGCTGCCTCGGAGCTGTGGTACAACTGTGAGGTTTGTATGTAAGATTCCTATGACACAGAGCCTTTAAATATACCCTGTGCATATTTAAAGCGTTTCCACATTGTGTACAGTTTGCCAAGAATATTTTTGCTCAACACTGGCTAAGCTACCCCCATCTTTGCTGTCTATCTAGTTGTATCTGTTTTTTTTCTGGTGGACATCAATCATCCCTTAAAAAACAACCACCCAGGACAAGGGCCCAAGTGTGCATCTCCTTCAGCACGAGAATAAACACATCCCATATAGTTGAATTCTCCCACTGATCCCAGTGGGACAAATCCATGAATTACATTGCCCACATGCTTCTGCACTGACTGTCTTCTGCTGCAAGCAATCTGTGAGATGAGAGCGTAACTCGTAAAACCGCTACATGTGTTTTTAATAACTTTTTACTTTTGTGAAAGCGTCGAGTCATTTATTCTGAAACTTCTTGCAGGATCATTCCTGAATCCCCTCGGTGGCTGATTTCCCAGGGAAGATATAAGGAGGCAGAAGTTATTATCCGAAAGGCTGCAAAAATAAATGGCGTTCCAGCCCCAGCCGTGCTTTTCGACACTGCGGAGGTATGTTTCATGCGTCCTGGTACCTTATCTGGCTGGCAGTTTCCCCCGTTGGCCAGTTGACTTGTTGGGAAATGCCAGCGGAGAACTGGTTTGCACCAGCAGCTTTTGGGGGCTGGCAGTGACTGTTGGCGTGAGGTAAGTGCTGGGTTAACCAGTTCAAAGTGAGAAGCCAGAGGGGTTTTTTATTTGTTTGGTTTTAACAGTAAAATTCTCTTCCTCGGCAGTGGTTGGTTGTGGTTTTCAGAGCAAGGGTGACCCAGATTGCTTCATCCTCCGGGCGCTGAGAAGACCCGAGGAAGATGTGTTTGTCCCCATTTCAGCTTGGCACAGTATTAGTGATGTGCAGTTTAACAGCCCTTCACGGGGGGGGCTCTGTAGGGGACCCTTAATCGGCACCCACGTGTGCCGGGGCTGCGTGGAGCCCGAGGGACCCCTCAGGTCGCACAAACCAGCCAAAGCACCCGAGTGCTGCAAGGGCACTTGAAAACCGTGATGGTAGTGAAGGCAGTGAAGAACATTAAGCCCTTCTTCAGGCCTGTGTTGAGTTTTTTTCTTGTATTTGATGTTTATTGGGTAAAAGGAGAAAGCCTTGCACAACCCTAGCACCTCAGCAAGCCGGGGAGCAGCACGGCTGCAGTGGGAGGGTTGGTTCTTGGGCTCATCTCCCCCTCTAGTGGCTCTGCCCTCGCCGGAGCTCCTGCTGAAGAGGCACAGACCTTTTTCTTGTGCAAAGCAACAAGCGACGCTTCCAACCCTGCGTCAGCGATGACCACGTGTCCCTATGTCACATCTTATTCTACTGCATTACACCAGCACCTGCGTTTTGTGCCTCCTGCTGACTCCTGATAGAGCAGAAAGCAAAGCATCGCGTGCTCCTTTGCAGTCCCTGCAGGAGAGAGGTGCTGCGTGCTGCACCTCCCGTGGGCAGGATCCATCTCTTGAATGTCACACTTGCATTTTGGCTGAGCTGCTGAAGATCCCTTTTCCAAGTGTGTGTTCTAGTGTGCATTGAAGTGCACGTTCCAGCTTTGGGAAGCTCATCCTACAGAAACCATGGAAAAGCACTTTCCTTACTTCACAGCCAGAGTTCAAATGTCTTTCATACGGGACATGACTTTTTCAGGCTCCAGCACATGAGTTTGCTCTTCATTGCTCCTGCGTATTTTTGAGCCCCAAGTGGCAGCTCAGCTGTCCTTTACTTCGTGGGAGTCTTGTACGCCAAAGTGTCTGTCCACAAAACCCTGAGGATGATGTTGGCACGTTAAGTCCTCCGTTGGAAGTATTTTTCAAACGTTGCTAGAAGGACATTCCTTGGAAACCATTCTCTCTTCCTCGGAAAGGAAATCTCCCAGGTCGCCCCGAAGGGAGGGCCAAACTCTTTGGGTTTGGGGGGAAGCCTGGCCACGAGCACGGGCTTTGCCCCGGCGAGGGCTCTCCGTGCAGGCAGAAGGGCACCCTCGTGCCACCCAGAAGATTCCTACTTCAAGTTCGAGCTGGACCCTCCGTCTCCGATCCGGGGTGGTGGATGCTCCCGGGCTGCGCCCTGGCTGCCACGCCGAGCTCTGGCACCCGTCCCCCTCCCTGGCAGGGCACCGGCAGGCAGGCAGCAAAACTGGGTGATTTTCTGCATTTATTTCACACCGTTTGTGAAGGTTGAACAGAAGAGAGTTGAGTGGACAGTGCACAGAAAAATGCCTTTGGTAACGAGGTTACTCCTGGAAGTGCTGTGTTAGATCCTTAAGGAAGTGTTAATGTGTCTTTCTTGTCAGCTGATACTCCTTTGTAATTAGTGCATGGTGCAGTGTCTCAGTGCTACCTTTTTTTTTTTTAAAACAAAACCCTGGAAACTCCGGCGGAGTACAGCTGGGTGCAGAGACAAGCTCTACCTAAGGACCGCCCTCCCCGGTGCGGCACTGGCCCTCGGGCCGCCTGGTTATCCCCTCATATAGTGGTAACTTCATAACTGCCCAAACTCGTGGGTATGCAGAGGTTGTTTTGCTCTTAGGTGTGTGGGAATTTTTTTGGTTTTGTTTTCCTTTTTCCTTCAGATGCAGGATTCGAAGCCTCAGCAGCAGCAGAAGGCTATCCTTCTGGACCTATTTCGAACCCGAAACATTGCAACTATTACTATTATGTCATTACTTTTGTGGTAAGGAAATGTGTATTCCTAAAGTACCCAGGCAATAGAACGATTCCTGATTTGAGGGCACATGCCACAGGTTTAGATAATAAGGCTCAGCCTCGGAGCCCGTCTGCTCACGGTCCTTGGGCAGTTCCTGGCCCTTGATGTCCTTGCACCCGCACTGCACTCATACACGAGAGTACGGAGACAGTACCCTCGACTCAGGCGTAAAATAGTTAGGAAACTGTATGTAACGACATGTGTGTTTTAAATTCTGTTGCTTTTTGGTTTTGTTTTTTAAAGACGCTCCCGTCTCTGTAATCTCTATTTGAAGAGAAATGTCCTTCTTGAAGCAGAGGCAGCAACTCAGTCACATAACAAGAACCAGACCCATGGCCAGCATTTGCGTTCTGTTTCTGTGCAGAGCCCATCTCAGTGAGATCCTGGTCCCTGCCTGGGCAGCCGCGAGGAATGAGAACCCAATAATACCATATAGACAAACCAGGACCCTTTTCTGCACGTATTTCCCCCAGCAGAAAGGAACTGGCTAGCACACTTGGCATGCCATAGTAAGGCACTCTTGAGATTTGAAACCCGAACATCCAGCTCTCTCCAGAAGATTAAATAAGATGTAACGGAACTGCTGAGGGTGGGAGATCCTGCCACTGGAGTTGGCTACAAGTAGGAACGTAGTTGGCATGGGAAGCTTTCAAGAGTTATTTCATTGTGCCGTTAATGAGTCCATTGCAGTGAAAAGCCTTTGTGAACGACTTCCACAAAGCCTTTTACTCGGTATAGCGTATGCAGGAAGGACAGAGAAATCAGAGGTCTCATCAAGCCGCTGTGGATATATCACTGGAAGGGATGACAGAATTAGAAAGATGGGGTTGCCACTGAGATGGTTTTTTTAAGCCACGATGCCTGTGGCGATGCGTTGCGACATCCTATTTTTGTAACAACATCTGAGGCAGCACTGGAGGCGTTCAGAGACTGGTGTTTCCGGAATCATTTGGTTTTATTGCTTTTCTCAGGTTTTTCACGTCGGTTGGTTACTTCGGCCTGTCCCTCAGCACTCCAAACTGGCATGGAAATGCCTACATCAACTGTTTCCTCTCCGCTGTTATCGAAGTTCCAGCGTACGTGATTGCCTGGCTTCTCCTCCGCTCCCTCCCTCGGCGCTACTCCGTATCTGGCACCTTGTTTTTAGGGGGAGCTGTTGTCCTCTTCATTCAGCTGGTTCCTGCAGGTACGAGATGCAAGAGACGACTTAAATATATAAAATGTTAGAAATATTTAACGGTGCTGTCTCATAGTTCTGTAAAATTACTGGAAACCACGATGAAATTTAGCATTTGAGGTTAAGTTTATGCTGATCACTTGCAGGCGTGATTTTTATTTTTTTTTTAATATGCATATGTACATGCTGAGTCATGCACGGCGCTCATTTATTGTGTCAAATTACTGCGCTTTTTATAGTTCAGGGAAACCAGCTTGTACAACGAGAGCCAAAAGTGCACTGTGATTTATCTGGGTGTGTGTAGAGGCTGAAAAAACCCTGCAAGTCTTCCAGATTTCACTGTGTGTAAATCTCCGTGGGATTTTGCGAAAAAGGGGTGGATTTAAGCTTGTGCTTTGTTGCTGTGTAATCCAGAATTTTGTTCTGTTTCAAGAATGCTGTTTTACTGGGAGACAACCAAAATCTGCAAAGTAGAAAATAACCTGAGCATCTACATTATGCTCAGTGGGAAGTTTGAAGCCAAGTCATCGAGGGATGGGGCTAATACATTGTCTAATCTCAAAAAATTAAACAAAACACATGCAACTGCTAGAGAAAAAACGGTGATACGTTCTTTGGGATGTAAAAGAAATACAAGTATTAAGCATGGGGTGTTGTTAATTCCCCTTTTCTTTTTTCTCCTCCAGATTTTAACGTCCTGTCTGTTGGCCTGGTGATGCTCGGAAAATTTGGCATCACAGCTGCGTTTTCAATGCTGTATGTCTACAACGTGGAGCTGTACCCAACGCTAGTGCGAAACATGGCAGTTGGAGCTACGTCCACGGCTTCCAGGCTGGGCAGCATCATCGCTCCGTACTTTGTTTACCTGGGTGAGCCGTCTTGCGTTCCTTGCCTTGTGCTACACAACTGCCCAGAGAAGTTGTCAGAGCTTCTGCAGCGCAGGCTCAGCTTTAAGTCCTGTCATTTCTTGTCTTTTAAGTCCCTTCTCTCACCTTGGGTCCAAGTTCCCTGTTGTACGCTGTAGAAATGAAGCGGAGGTCTTTGGGTTTCACTGAAGAATCAGGCACTTTTGTCCTTTATTGAGGCTAGGGACCGTTCGCACAGCACTGGAGTGGCGCAGAGCTGGTCCGAGATGATGACGGTGCGGCAGAACTGGTCCAAGACGATGGATGGTGTTTATAAACCATGCAAGTGGGGTGGTTGGGCTGATAACTGGTCCCATCTTGGCAGTGGTTGTTACCCCTGGGACGCCAGTTACTTTGCCAGGAGAGCACGAGGGGAAGCCATGTGGCAAGTAAGGCCAGTAGGAAATTCATTGCACTGTACTCGTCAGGCGCATCCTGAGGTGGGCACGTCAGGAGCAGAGGAACCAGGCGAGAATCCAAACACCCTCTGAATCTGTGCTCTCTAAAGCAATACATGGAAAATACATAGATTAAACAGCACAAGAGTGTGTTTAATTGTGACCTTCGTGAAGTGATTTTTGAGCTACTAAGCCACCTCAGCTCTCACTTTGCTTTTTCTTATTGTTCCCGCCGTGGTCTGTAAGCAGAACTACTGATTTCCTTTTTTTTGACACTCATTACCATCACATTCTGAGTATTGCACAAATATTAATTGATAATTATGATTTTTTTTTAAGTACATGGAAATGATCCTCATGTTGCAGACAGGAAAGGGTGACCGAGATGAGGGGATTAAGGGTGGAAGTATCTGAATATCTGCTGTTCAGTCCGGGGTGCTCAATCTCCTGTTTCTTTCACTCACACATGATTTATTTCCTTCTACCATCACTGGGCCCGTCTCAGTTCTCCCCTGTGCCTAACCTGTTTTGCTGCCTGCTGAGACCTTTGATACAAAGTGAGGATGACTGCTGACTCGGGCGCAGCATCGCTGGTGTGCTGCCGTGGGGTCAATGCTGGTTCACCACGCTGGGAAAGGGGAGAGGAGACTACCAGCTGTAGCTCACCTCTACATCCCAGTGTGGCGCTAACACACTGTACCAAAAATGATGAAAATAGTCTTTATTTCATACTTGCACAGGGCAAATGTAAAGTAAAAGGGAGAGCAGGGCTGGGATGCTCCTTAGGGTCTCCAGTCTCTGTTGCAGCAATAACGGAGAGATGTAGATGGGATAAAGTTTTTACTGGTGTGTTTTGTGGGTTTTTTTCTCCCAGGTTTCCATGGGCTCAGCCTTTATAAAAAAACCTTGTTCCAGTCATCAGAATAGTTTTCTAAAGTTTAGGAGGTTTTAGGAGAAACTCGTCAGCTGCTGGTATTTGCTACAGCTAAATTAGGACCTCACAGTTCATCCAGCTCATCAACACAGAAGAGATCAAATCACAGACTTTGGCTCTGCGTGAAATACCCAAGGGTCTTCACTTTAATCCTAGTTTATTCCATATATTATAAAGCACGCTGCTCGATCCCAACTAAAAAATAAAGCTGTCAAGGCCAGTTTGGTACTTTCTCTTCCTTAAATACTTTAAATCCTAGCTAATCCCTTTCCTGAAAGACCTTTTCATTGCTGTGCTATTGTGACTTGGAAGATCTTGCATCCTGCCCGAACACTTGTGCGCTAGCTTCAGGCTGCTGGCAGGGGCCACTGCCTTCCAGTCCAAAATAATATTCTGAGTAGACCAAGGTCAGAGCCTCTTGTCTGTCACGGGAGGCCTGACGCTTTCTCTCCTCGCAATAAAGAAGGTATTTAAGCATTCCCCCGTAATGGCTCAGTAGTCCGAAGCTGGCCTGTCCAGCTGCCATCAGTCTCTTCCCTTGTTTCGCACAAGCCCAGCAGGATGCACAAGCCCAGGCAGCTGATGGGTGCTTGGTTGCTTATGAACACTTTAATTCCCTCACATTGAATTATTTGATGGAGGATTCAGTTCCTGATGACAGTGTAGCGCTGAAGACTCCAGCTGTGACCCCAGCAGAGCTGTTACCTTGCAAAGATGTTGGCTACCCTGGTTGAAAATGTACAAAAAACCTATTAGCTGCTACACAACCAGACAGGATGGCATGAAACTGGTGATAGGTGTGGGCATCCTAGAGCACGCGTTGTAGTTTTAAAACTGAAAAATCCCTTTGTTTGCTGGCAGATAACAGGTGTAACGCCGTTTTGGATTCACCTTTAATATTTATGAAGATTTCAGCTACTCATTCCAAATTAATTCTGCATTACGGCAATGTCTGGAATATACTTTTACACATGGGTTTGTTGCTTGTGGATATTAAGTGCTGTTGTCACGTCCTGTGTTCTGCCAGGCGCCTACGACAGATTCCTACCATATATCCTGATGGGAAGCCTGACTGTGCTGATCGGGATCCTTACCCTGTTCCTCCCGGAGAGCTACGGCAGTCCCCTGCCTGAGAGCTTTGAGCAAATGCTGAAGGTGAAATGGTAAGGCGGCGTTCATTCATCCCGGGCTTCACAAGAACTCAGGACCTCTTTCTCCATAGTCCCTTTTCACAATCAGTAAACATGTTTCATCAGATCCACTGCAAAACATCAAAGCTTTCGAAGGCCCCTTTAGATGTTCGGGGTTTTTTTGGTTGTTAATTTGACAGACATGGACATTATGCAGTTTCTCCAGAATCGCTGAACCTGAGAGCTGATGTGCTTGAAGGTGGGCCCTTGCAAAGCAAGGCTGACCTTCACGTCACCTTGAGGCTGTTGCTTCATATCTCCCCAACACTTTCCTTTTATATCATTTGCTCTCCTTAACTCTTCATTTAAACTATTCATTTAGTAGGATGGTTTACATTACAAAACACTTTACTCTCTCAGTGCAAGTTCATTATATACCACTCCAAATTAAACACAAGACTTCAATATTGTGGCCTCTTTCGTTTGGGAGAGTAGAGATGTGCCAGGACAGCTTTCCTCCTGGTTTATTTGGTTTAGCTGTCAGCAATGACAGTCCTCGTGCCCCCCCACCATTGCTATTTAGGGTACCCTGAGCAAACATCTCCACTGAAATGTGTGTGTGTACGTTGCAGTGCTGGTGCAGAGGAGATGGCCAGGGTTTGCGAGTTACTGGTGTGGGAGGAAAGCTCTTGGGAGCAGCAGAGGGAAACTGAATTAGCCCAAGCGCAGCTGCATAGCCACCATCCAGCTCACCGAGAATTTGTGCTGGAACAGAATGTGCCCTTATAAGCAATAATAACTGGTCAGTATAAGGAGCTGTCATTAGGCTTCCCGAATAAGAAGAATTCTCAGGCCAGGTTCCTCGAGAAGGGCATGCTGCTCTTTATCACAATTAGGGACTTCTCATATGTCTGACCTATGGCTTTTCGACTTCGCAGTTGACCAACTGTAGCTAGAAATCCTAGAGTCAAACCACGTTCCCTTCGCAGGCTTCTTGCCTAAACCGAGTGAAGTAACTGAATTACAGTCACTGAATTACATTCAAGTTCCACGTGTTGTTTGCTGCACCGCTTCTGCCTTCTGGAAAGGCATACTTTACAGAGCACTTGCTTTTTGCTGATGTTTATATTAGTAGTGTAACACGGTTATTTTAGCAGCGCTGATTAGGGGGAGCAAGTGCGTGGTGTCACCCTGCAAAACGTTTACTAGCTTCTCAGTTTTTTACTTGCTTTCAGTTTCAGACATGGGCAACAAACCACTGGCGTTAGGAATTCAAAGGAGAGTCCTAAAATGCTGGTAACACCCTTGTGAAGAAGGATGCACACTCTCAGAGGGGCTGAAAGAACAAGAAGATCTTCTCAAAATGCATTTTCTGCCAAAGGAATACAAACAAAACCCACCAGTCCATGCTACTGCACTATAGTTACTATCCCCTGTGCTACTGTACCCAAATACATAGTTTACTGACCAGATGCTGTCTACTCCCGTAGGACTCAGTCTGTAATTCAGTGTCCTGACACCTGGGGTTTGTCAGCAGATACAGCAGTCCCTGTTGAGAAATGGGGCCTGCCTGTGCTGAAGTCGATTGATTCGAGGAGTAAGCTAGAAATGAGCCTTAGGAATAATACGGCAACAACTCCAGTCAGTCAGGTTCTCATTGAAAGCTGTTTGAAGAAAAAAAAATACAGAAAACATAATGCTGGTGGTTTTTCTCACTGTGTGTTTTGACTGATGAAGGGGAGCTGGGTGTCTGTCTTTGCAAATCTCAGCACGTGCCCCTAAAGTAAAGATCCCGGCGTCCTTTGAAATCTGTGACCAAAGCCCGATAGACTAAGTGGGATCGGAATTTAGCTGTAGCAAAGCAGACATAGACTTCACTGTAAGGACATGTTTTTTAAACAAGACATCGGAGCATCTTTTGATGTCGCTTGCTTTTCCCAGGACCTGGGATCCACTTCTGATCCACTTGTCCCTGTAAAACCTGATGCTTTTTCATAAAGCCTGAGCCCACTGACATCCTTGGGCGTCACGAACATTCAGTGTCTTTGGGGATGGGAGAAGCCTTTAACGCAGAAAGGACTATAGCTTGCTGACCTGACGGGCTATGCCCGCTTTCAAGAGACACATGGGCTTTCGCAAGTCAATGATCCTATCCAAACATGCCACGCAGTTGTAGCTTTTTCATGGTATAGTGGCGTAAGTAGTTTTTTCGATCTTTTGGGGTTTTTTTTCAAAGCGTTTCATTACTCCTTTGAATACATACCACATTGTTTTGTACCTTCAGAGAAAGCTCGTTGCAGTTTCAAAAGCCTCTGCAAAACCTTTGTACCATTTAAAAATTTAAAGGGGATTTGACGCTTGCAAAAAGCTCATGTTCTGTACTGGAGATGTTCACTTGCAGTTATTAACTCTGCAAAAGGGCTACCTTGGGACCACAGTTTTTTCAGAACAAAAAAAACCACCAACAAGCCAGTGTTCTGTTTTTCAAATCCTACCGGTTAAGTATGCATTTTTTAAAAAGTTCAGCAAAGCTAGATTGGATGAAAAATCAAATGTAGAGCTTAGAGTTGTGCTACTACTGTTTTATGAACACTACGTAGTTTGAAAAAAGTATAATACCTTTTATTTTTCTATTTATTGGCTGTACATGCACTGCTTGGCCACATAAAGTCTATCAGACCTGGTAGACTGATTTTTATCCTCTATAAATAACAATTAGCCGTGAGTCACCTTCTGGAAGGGCCAACAAAAGCACACTGTCTCATCTCTAATGTGAGAGCTCATGGCAAGTTGTCTTGTGCTGGCACTCGGCACAGGAATAGGGCTCTCCCTGTGGGTTCAAGCACAAATATAAAGCTTTATGACATTTAAATGCAAGGAACTTGTGCAATTATTTCGAGCTGCTCTTTGGGATGCGGAAATAGTATTTCCTTTCATATATAATTTTCTGCAGTTATGCTTTTGCCATAAACATGTGGCATGAGGCAACCATTATCCTGTGACCCCTGACATTCTCATCCCTTCTCAAGCTGGAATTTCTCCAATTATTTAATCTTGGTTTTACTTATTACAAAGTTAATCTATAGAATAGCTGTTTAGACATAACTAAATTTCTCAAAAAAGCCTTTGTATCAGCGTAGAATGGGTTTGAGGACTTGGTTAAATATAGGTGGCCGTATTTTTATGAAGATTTTTATATTAAGTTGATACTTATTTTATGTGATCATAGGCTTGGGTGTTTCTAAAAGGTAAATATTTTTGTACTCTTGAACTTTGTAGTATCTTAAAGCCTAGTTTTCCTTTTCTAAATATGAAAAAGGGTGGGGTTTTTTTTTAAATACTTTGTTTTAATCAGTCTCATTTTTCTTGCTTATACCATTGATATCAAGCTAGTGTCACATTTTAGAATTTTTAGTGGCAGATTTAAAAAAAACTTTCACAAGAGTGGAATGCCTTTCTGAAAAGTATGTGATGTTGTTATAAGGCCTTATGGTGTCTGAGCAGAATAAAAACGCGAAAAGGAGATTGCTTCAGCTGACGAAACATTTGCAAGGAGAGTGTCTGTCCTCTGCCAGTATCTTTCCCAGGCTCAAACAGGGATTTCTGACGAAACCCAAAGAGTGATAGTCTGCGGAAGAATCAAACAGGGATGAAGCTGGAGGGCCAGACTGCCTGTTTCTGGCGAGTTACTATTTTTTTAATTGTAAAGCTGAAGAAAACAGCTATTGGTGGAATTAGATGTATTGCTGGTGAGCTATTTGAGCCTCTCCCTGCCATCTTCAGTGAGTTTTCCGTGTGTCGGATACGCGGCAGGGCTCAGCATGGGCCCTGTGTGCTCACCCGCAGCTGGGGGTGCCTGTAAGGCTCTGACCTGAGGACGGGAAGGAAGCAGCAGCTGGATCGCTCCCTCTGACCACAGGGGACGTGTCACCGTGCCTCATCTGTCACCTCCGTCACGTTTACGTGGGTCTCTCCGGGCAACCTTTGATCCTCAGCTGGCTTATTGGATCTGCTAAAGCATACATGACACTGTAGTAATTGTCACTCGTTAACTTCTGTCTTCATTGTAATAAAACTGTGCGCTGGCATTGTATAACCTGCTTTCCGCGTGGATTGTAATTGAAGAATAAAGTCTCCTAACTTTAACGCTTTGTGCAAAGGAGTTTAAAAAAGTAATTTAAAGTGTATTTAGCATGGATAAAGTACGAAAATAAAACCCTAAAAAAAGCTGTTCCACAAATCAGCTCTTCCGCACAGGAAGACTGTTACAGTGTAGTACAGTTTTTCTGCTTTTCAGATGGTTCAGTCCTGACTCTGTGATCCTGCAAAGCCCCTGACGCAGACCCCGGCCAGGGTCAAGGATGATTTTGAGGTTAAACTTCAAAATTTATGTCCATTTCATTTCCCACCTTTGAGACCTTTCACAGCTGAGCAAATCCAACATGGAACAAAAGGGGTTTTTTTAATACAAGTATTCAGAAATGCTGTAAACAGTATACATTCGGCTTTTATCAACTAGAGGTGAAGAAAATATCAGACACAAAAAGCCAGTCAGAAACATGAATTAGCTTTATGGAGCACACGGCCAATTTCTGCATGGATAATCATGCAACTTCTTAACTGAGCTCTGTGGAAGACACGAGCTCCCTGACATTGCTGCTAGGAAATGAGCCGGGGTTCTTGGCCTAGGACTAGAATATTAATTGTTACATATATTGTTTGTAAAACGTATAGTACACATTCCCTCAGAAAAGTGTCATTGTCGGCAAAACCTTTTTACAGCTACAGACAGTCCTGCTAAGAGAAGGAACCATTGAACACTTGGACTCGCAGAACGCTGCCTGCTTTTGATCCTGCTACGAGCAGAACGATCGGTGAAGGCTCTTGGCTCGTATGTGGTTAGTGACCAAACCAAGGCCTTCTGAGGAACCCTGGCTAGTTGACAGAATCATAGAATGGTTTAGGTTGGAAGGGACCTTGAAGATCATCTCGTTCCACCCCCTGCCCTGGGCAGGGACACCTCCCACCAGCCCAGGTTGCTCCAAGCCCCGTCCAACCTGGCCTTGAACACCTCCAGGGATGGGGCAGCCACAGCTTCTCGGGGCAACCTGCCCCAGGGGCTCACCACCCCCACAGCAAAGATTTTTTTCTGCTGGCCACGCTGCTGGGGATGCAGCCCAGGGTGTGGGGGTCCTTCTGGTCTGCGAGTACGTTCACCTGAAATGTGTAGCCAAACCCGAGGGGCTGCAGGCAGCTGAATAATGATTCATCTCGAGCCCAGTTCCTGCACCCTTTGGGCAGTAAATAAGGCATCGAATGCCTGTATTAGCAGTCTGCTTGTGACCAGGAGTCACCAGAGGGCAGGGGACATGCCACACCGCCGGGCCTGGGCCGGGCGCCTCGGGGGGGAGCTGGGAAGCGGCCCCAGGCCAGGGTGATGCTCACC